TAAGAAATATTAACTTGTTTATTTCTGAAAACCATTAGTAAATATTTCAATTTTAATTATTATAATATTATAATATTAATTTTAAATCTATTGTATAAAGAAAAGGAAAGACATCGATATTCTTGTGTTTATGTTGTTTTTATGTATAATCTTATAGTTTTTAGACATAAATAGATTATAATACTTTTTATAGAAAATGTTAAGATTTACCAATGCTTCAAAAATTATATGATTCTATTTTAAAAACAAAATTGACTTTTATATCTGTCCTCTATGCTTCCACCCACCAAAAAACAATTATTAGTAGATTGTGTCCCTTGAGACTGTTTGAAATTTTTTTATTTTATCACCAATAACATATATTCAAGCAACCTTGTTTTAGGTGTTTCACATAAATTATTACTATATATTTTTTTTTAAAACAAAATAATACACACACACACACACACACACACACACACACATATAATTATATTATTTTACTTTAGAAAAAAATAGTATAACAAATATGAGATGTGATTTAAATAATAATTTTCGAAATAATTTTAACTGTGAAATAAATATAAATTATTTCTCTACTATTTTAGAGTACAATATGCGTTCATGAAAAGGCTGATATTGAGTTATTCGCAGAAAAAGCACAAATACAAAATGTAATTATTTGTTCAAGTTTAACTCATGTAGAATGTGCTTTAAAACTTCCAATACATCAACGTTATTAATATGCCAATGATACTAATAAATATATGAATATATATTTCATATATAATAAATATATGAATATATATTTCATATATAATAAATATATGAAATATATTATTTTACCAGATCCAATATTGCTATTAGGCTGTAGAAAAAAAATTGAAGGCTATAGAATTTCTAAACTTGATTTGTGTTCTCCATGTGTAACAATTGTACCTAAATGGAGAGAAATTCCGTATGTCACGGTAAAAAATAAACTTTATTATTAAAATAGTAGAGATATTTTATTTTTATGTGAACAAATATTTTTCATATCCATTTTGCAGGATAAGAAAGATCTATGGACAATACCAGTTGGTGAGACAACTATGTTATATGTAGTAACTTATACTACATTTTTATTAACAATGTTATGTACAATATATCTTATACAAACAATTTGGAAATCTATACCAAAGCAACATCTAAAACATGACTGAAATATTAAACAAACTTGTTTGTATAATATAATTATCAATCGTTATTATATATATACTTTCGTAATAAATATTAAATATAACATACATAAATATACACAAACATTTATAAATAAAATAGTGAAAATAATGATATGCCCATAAAATCACAGTATTTACAATACATTTTATAAATTACATATTCTTCAGTATCATAGCAATATCACAACTTTTTTTCTAAATCCATTTTTTCAGTATCTTTTACTTTTTGCATATATCCATTTTCCACTGATGATTCAATTGTAATTGCACTCATGGAAATATTTTTTTCCTTTACGGGATCATTCCATTGCTGAATTTATATAGATGTACCATAGATGTACCAAACACAATAAAAATAAAATTTCCAACAAAATATATTGCAGATGTTAAAAAGAACATATTTCTCCATTCTTCAGGATTTTCCTAAAAATTTAAGAATAAAAAATTATCGAATTCTTATCATTTGGATTATTTGTTATTAATTATTTTTCATATATTATTACATTTTAATAATTACAGTTAATTATATTAGTAAACCATTAATATCAAAAGGTTTTGATATATAGATACTATATAAATATTAACAATCTATGACAAAAATAAATTTATGTTTCTAGAAATTTTATTGCAAATTCACCTTAAATTGTTAAATTATTATTTAATGATATATATATATTTAATTTAAAACAAGCTCTTATAGCATCTTACATATCTTATAGAGTCAAAAAAGTGAACAATCTTTTAATATTTAAAATATCATTTTAAAATTTCTTAAATTCTAATTGCGTTAATTATATATTGCATTTAATATATTAAAAGTAATGATAAAAAAAAATATAATATAAAATTATTATTATGACAAAAAAATTAAATTTTTATCTTTTATTAAAATTGTATCCAACTCAAAATAGTTTGTCCATTCATATTTTACCTAACTTTCAAGACTCTACATTTGTCAATAATAATAATATAACTAATATGATTGCATACAAAAAAATAGATTATTTTAGATAATAATAAATAAAAATATAAT